TTGTTATTTCACAGCAAATTTATTTCCAACAATAGTTGAATTTGCTGTGAAATAACATCTAAGCATATTTTAATAATTTTATCAGATTAGCTTATTAAATATAAACAGACTAGTTTTTATAACTAATTCAAATATCTGTTATATTTACGGCCAATAAAAAGTTGTGTCTTAATTTTAAATCATTTCAATCAAATGTACACAGAAATTTTAAAGTAATTGATATTCATGCTTTAACTAACCAATGAAATTCATACACTGAGGATAAATGAGGTTATTATAGAATCTTCATAAATAAGGATTTATCACCAACATTTTCTGAAAGTTACTTTTTCCCCCAACAAGGGATTCTCAAGTGAAAGATTCTAAACACTCACGAAGTAGGAAGATTGATTCAAACTTGGTTTAGGATTCACCCTTAAGTTTAGGTAAAATAGGCTGGCAGCTGCCAAGAGAAACTGTGAAAACCTATCTAATGGGAAAACTGATTCAGACTAGGTTTAGGGATAAGTAAAAATATCTGAACAGTCATTTAATGGGGAGATTGATTTAGAATTTGTTTTGGGTTAGCCATTGAATGGCATATAAAATTCTCTAAAAAAACATTTTGTGGGAAGATTGATTCAGACACGAAACGTTGTACATTCATTACTTGTAATAAAGTTTCTTTCATTACCCATTCAAGCCGTTTCGAAGCTTATTTCAGACATACTTATATTTCTCACCAAAGGGAGTAAGATGTACTAGCAAGAGGTATGTAAGCTTCTATGAAATGTCCTTTCTAGTAGGAGGATTGTTTTAGTTTAAGATATAATTTAAGTAATTATAAAAACTTTATGAAGCCTCATCTCGGGAGGGGATTAATTCACAGTTAGAATTAACCTTTGAGTAGCTAAAACATCACAGAAAAATTTGAAAAATAAAATTTTATGTCTATTCAGAATAACGGTTTGAACACCGAAAGCTGTTGAAGCAATGGAATCTAACAGGCCTAGTATTTGTTGACAAAAATCACTTATGCGTGATTTTTTCAAATATTTCTTTTAATTGGTTCGTTATATATTTCAAACAAAAGGAGAGTAAAAACGTTTGCAGTCTAAGATATTATTATCACAAATACTAGGCCTTTTAGATTCCAGTACTTCGCTAAACTTTCGGCGTAACTCTTAAATTCATATATATAAATAGTGTTTCCGTAGATTTTTACCTCATCGTTATGGTACTCCTCGGTAGTGACTTGTAGCAGAGAAAAAAAAAGATATCTCAGAAATACGATTTTTACACATCTTTGAGAATTTACTTTTATGCAGATTAATTAAAACATTTATTGTAGTTTATAATATATATAGTTATCAAGTTTGTACAACTGTTGAAAGTTGTAGATAAAATATGTGTTGCTCCAGCTAAAATAACAGTGACTTGGTTATGGTTAAATTTTTATGCTGTTACAGACACAGCAAAATGGTGGCTTACATGTGCTGTTTTTGATAATCTTTAATATGTTGTTTAGGCAGAGTATTCATAATGAATATAAGTTTCAAATGGATAGCAACTGCCTGTTGTAGAAACCTACAAATGTAGAGGACGACGTTTCGAAAGTCTTCCGCCTTTCGTCTTGAAACTTAGATTCAATACATATGTTGTTCTTTTATTAAGTTGAATCTTTATTTCTCTTACATTATTCTTCTATGCAAGACACTTTTTCAAACTTTATAAATGATTTAAATTACAGATAAAGCCAAATACCTAATTAATGACATAAAATCGTATAATTATCCTAATTTCTAATTTTTTTCATACCTTACAATATTATATTTGTGTTTTCTACAATGACAACCACATTGCACATTAATATGATTGTCGTATCTTCATCATATCTAATTATTGTTATTAAGATAACGCTAAAATAGTTCATCTTGAATTTCATTTTTTAAAGAGCGTAAACACAGCACTTTAAATGCATAGTTTAATAGTTAGTTTGTGAGATTGCGACCTCGAGTAGCCCAAG